TAATAACATAATATTTATATATTTTGCTCATTTTGATCTGTTTTTGATCTTCACTGCTTCGGTTTAGCATCATCACGGATGCTAGGCAACAGGCGGTGTAAGGGTGGGAAAGCTGAAGGCTTTCCAAACTGACTGTCCAAAGACTGTCCAAATTCACAGCCACTTTTTTCTGGTCTTCGCAGTCGACCAACGACCTACCTAGACTGAGTAGGCTGGGTCCTTTGAAGGATGCAGTCCATGAATTTGGACACAGCCTAGATCAGGGGTGCCCAAACATTTTCCCTGAGAGGGTCAAAATTAAAATCAGTCTGAGGGCCGTGGGCCAAATGCAATAATAAAAAAAAATGCAAATACTGCTTAAGTAAAGTTGTTTCATTCTTTATGATTAAGCTAGCAGCCAGTGTGGTTGCCCATATTCTTTTTGTTTTGTTTTGTTTGTTTTTTGATATTTTTTAGCCAATGTACATGGAGAAAATTCAATGTATGCTCAGGCAGCAAAGACTCATGGGACTTGTCATCATTTTAAATTTGAGTTTATGTGGTCTTATAAGGTGTGCAAATCTAGATATGGGTTTAAATCTAATCTAMATGTATCTTGTAGTAACTTGTATTTTAAATTTAATCTTAACATAATTCAAAGATAAAGTGAGCACCATGACTTAAGTCTTTCTGACTACAGCTCCTTGTACATATAGTTGGTTGACAAGACTAGTGTTTCTAAATAAGACACAATGTTACAATCTAATAACCAGGACAACTGCTGGTGGGCCAAATCAAATGGCTTGGCAGGCCAATTTTGGCCCGCGGGTCCCACTTTGGGCACCTCTGGTCTAGATCAAGGGTGGCCAAACTTTTTTCCCAGCARGGCCAAAATAAAAGTCCATCTGAGGGCTGCGGGCCAAATGCAATAATGTAAGACATGCAATGCAAATATTTTTAAGTAAAGTGTTTTTATTTATTTATTTTTGAATTAAGCTAGCAGCCAGCGCAGTGGGCCACATTTGTTTTTTTTTTTTTTTAGCTTGTGCACTTCGACAAAGCTTGACGTACATTCAGGCAGCAGAGGCTCATGGGACAGTTCATAAATTGATAAAATATGAGTATTTGTGGTCTTATAAAATGTGCAAATCTACATGTGTGCTTAAATCTAATTTAAACATCCCTTGTAGTTAGTTGCATAGAAGGAATAGTAGGAATAAAAACCATTGTAGGAGTTGTGCCCATGTTGGAATTCTAGCAATGGAAAAGCTTTGACCATGATAGGTCATAGGTCACCTTCAATGAAGGATGACTAAGATAGTGGAAGATAAGGAGTTTATTGTATATACATAGTAGATATATATATATATA